TGTGTGAGCAACACTTATTACACTCAGATGAATCTTTGTTTCACTCTGATCGTGATAGCCAGTTTTTCTTGACAGAGTTCAGTGTATGCAGAGACCAAAATAAGGGAAGCCTGGAAGCACAATCATCCTACATTCAAAATCACTTACTCACAGGCTTTGCTATCTTGGTTACTTTAGTGTCAGACACACCTGTACAGATCATGCTGAAACTACACATATACATCATTCATCTTTGCATATACATATGCACATGCAAAATGGCCAAATGGTGGTTATCTTTGTGTTATTTTTTTTTCAAACTTGGAATATACATTGCAGGTTATGGGACCTTGAAGCATGTTTTGCAGATGAAGATTGGTATTGTTTTAGAAAGTTTCTGAAATGTGACATCATACATTTGCTGGTGTAGTTGTGCAATTCAAGATGGCTGAATAGCAGACATTTTAGTGCGAAAATGCTAAAAAAACTGAGCAGGTCTTTCGTGAATATATTTAACTCAAACTCGGTACAGAGTTTCAGTTTCTTACGTTATGGTCTTACTGTAAAACTGGTCTAAACAAAACATCCGAATGGACTGAGAGAACTTCAGTTCATAGAGGTCTGACAGTGAAATATGTATAAACCAATCAAAAAAAGGACTGAGAAAATTGTTCAGTTACAGAGGTGTCACCTGTCACCAAAACGGGTTCTACAATTTACAATTTTATACCTGTTATTTTTGTAGAAAGTGCAATTTTGCGAATACCAATCTTGTATGGTGAGGTTGAAAAGCTATCAGAGAGTGCAGTGACAATATTATTCCAAGCTGTACAAGACACAAATAAACCTGCCACTATGTGTGATTATCAGAAACGTTATCCAACACATGTCAATGATATTGCTGTCATTATCAGAAAATTAGCAGAGAAGAGACTACAGGTAAAAAAAAAACATACAAGACATAACTATAGATGGAATATCAGCCAAAATATAATCTAGATTATGCTCAGTTTTTTGTTTGTCTGGAATGGGGTTGCCTTCACTGGCAATTAATGGTATTATCCTCTAATTCTCCAAATTTTTAATTACATCACATGATTTCACAGCACATAAATTAGTAATGAATACATAGTATTTTGAAATTCATTGATAAAATAAATTAAAATGTGTACGTAATGATTTACCTAACAAAAGAACAAATTGGTTATTAGAAATTCTTTTTATTGTACTTTTTTGGATTTTGTATGATTTGACTTGATTTTGTAATGACATCATAACAGTCACTGTACAAATGATCACTTATTTATAACAGGTGGTAACATTTATACTAGTAGCCAATCATTGTCTCCAGCATTGACCATGTGATCTTAAACAGCCAATGATTGTGTCTAGCATTGACCATGGAATCTTAAACAGCCAATCATTGTGACTGTCATTAACTACGTATGTGATTTTGAACAGCCAATCATTGCATATGTTATAGCCCATGTGACTTCAACTAGCCAATTACTGTGTTCATTATAGACCATGCAATCTCAAATAGCAAGTCATTGTGTGTGTTAGTTGTTCAATTATGTTGCTTTATGTCATGATTTGTGAATATCTCAGTTTTGCCACAAAAAACACAAAATCATAGCGATATGTATCTGAAAACTACAGTAAAAACATTTTTCAAATTTGTCAAATGAATTGTTGAACCTGGTTACTCTCTCGTATTTTCAAGATCTGTAAATAATAAATCAGGAGTAAATTCTTTCAAATAGTGACTCCAGAAATTTCGGAATGTTTTCTGTACCTTACTCAAACATGTAGACATTTATCATTTCTACTTATAATAGGTCTACATGTATGCATCATTAATTATCTTCTTCTGCAGCACAGCATGGTTACTAAAAACAAGCACAACAATCCAAAAACTATTCTGAAACCATAAATTATCAGTTATTAACTCATTATGGCACATAGTTCATTTAAGCTTCTTCTATGAGTAGCAAGAAAGTAATTAGAAAGTATAGTTAGATGATGTGAACGATAAACATTTAAATTAAGGATTTTTTTTCAACAAATTTTATCAAATATTAACTTTTAGAATTGTGTTGATGGTTGAAAATTGATGATTATTTTCAAGATGGTGGATATATTTAAAAACGTTGAGAATGCTACATAACCTCCCAAATTTCCAATACTTTAACTCTTAATGCTGTTGAAATGAGAATAGTCTTACTCTTATATATTCACCTGTAAAGTGTTACTTTATGGTATTCAACTGCCAGTGTCATCACCCTGAAGTACGTCAAACTCTATTTAATGATACTAAAGCATTCCGGAAGACGTAAAAATGTCTAAAACATGAACAAGTCATCATCATAATCAAACAATTCTTTATATCAATGCTGATTGAGTAATAATTATCTCATAAACATTAAATGTCTACTTTTAAGTGCAGCTAGACTTCCTGTAAATGTACAGACATGCAATTAGCACAGCAATTCACCTGTGTATTGATAATACATCCTGGTATATAGCAAGTATGTGTATTAGTTGTACTTGACTAACTCTACAATGACCATCTTTTCATGCATATCAACTGTAATCCACAGATAAATCTAACTCAGAGACATTAGTTCCACCCTTGCTATGTTCCGCATGAAACATTATATTGTCACTGTTAACAAATCAGTTCCATAATGATGGAATACTGTTTTTTGTGTTGATATGTGTGTAAATGGTGAGATTCAATGGACTTGGCATGAAGCTAATGGTAAATTTATACTTGGGAAAGTTTCCATGGCACTCTTAGCCTATTTATGAAAGTGAAATATTTACAGTTTATGTTATTTATGTTGTCCCAAATGTATTGTATTATTCTATTTTATTCTGATTTGATGACTTTGTATGTATCAAAAACTTGAGGCAATAGTGTGTTCACATTTGTTTTTGCATTCCCCGTAATGCCATAATGTTGCGTAATATACGTGGGTGGCGTAAGAGCAATAAACTGGTGAAAACATGTTACCCAGGAGGATATTAGCACTGACCCAACTATTACATAACAATTATGCCAGCATAAAAACAGATGTGAACACAAAACAGACCTAAATGCTTCACTCAGCAATCATTTGCAATGGGTTTATTGGAAGTTAGTATTGAAGTGAGCTTCTAAACTGACATACATGTATGATTATCTTATTTCAAAGTAGGTATATACTGGGGTACTCACAATATGTATTTTATTTTCGGCATGTTGAGCTCAAGATGTACTGAAAATGTATATTATTTTGACATTTAATGGCCAAGAGTTATCAATTATTGATGGTTGATTGCACGGAAGAGTAAATAAATGAAAAAGTACACAAAAGACAAAATTATAAGGTCAACTGAAAATTTGCCAGTGCAGCAGTTCTAGTTACCAACAATTACACTGGCACTACTTTTTCTAGTTTTATGCAGTGGCGACTCTAGTTATATATAAGCCTATCATCTCACAACACATTCTCTTAAAATTACCATTCTGGCGTTATGCATGTAATTAGATTTTATTAGCAGTGACACTGATATATATGTTTATAATTAGACATTGTTGACCTAACTGATCACTGGTCCAGAACTGTCTCATCAACTTACTTAGGAATGTCATGGCAACTGTGGGGATTAAAAACCCAGTAATTTTATCCCCATGTTAGATTAACATTTACATCTGGCAAAAGACTACAGCATCTTGGGCTTTCTGTGTAGATGGGTGTGGTGTCAGATTGATATCTGGCAGACATTGGCATGGGTGATGACAATCTACAACTCCACTGGGAATCAAGAGAATAGCCTACTTCATGTCTAGCAGAGATTTGATGCTCACCATATACAGATGTGCAAAGATTTGCTCCTCTGGATATTGTCTGAATACTTCCTCTTTTAATAAAAATACTTCCCTAGAGTATAAACTCTAGACTTGAAAGCCTTAAGGAATGGATCAACTCTCCATCATAGCTTATTTGGTGGCACCATTTGAAAGTAATGTTATGTGACTTAAAGTTTCTGTCACGTAAATTAAGTGGCAAACTCATAAAGCTTATATGAAAAGATAAAGAAAATGTAGAACAAAATTTATATTTATATTTATTATTGCTCTGCTTCACGGCCGAGGTTTTTCCGTCTACAGGATGATACAAATACCGATTTGATGATCAATTATTTCTGCCCACATAAACCACACAGTTATGCCACAAAACATGAGATTTAGTGATATTAACATAATTATTGGCAATTTGCTCTGCTAAGATTGCCCTTAAATCACTTTTGTGTGTGTGTGATTTCCAGTTTCTTAATCAATTCTTCTGTGATTTTTTTGGCTGGGCCGATTTAGTTCAAACGCCTTCAACTCTAGTAAAGTGGTAAAAATCTGAAAAAATTCCTGGCCCACCTTCACCATGACAACAGCCAAAAAACTGATTTTTTAATACTCTCGTTCCAAATGTATTACCTCCTATCAGTCTTGTAATAGCAGTGTTCAAATGAGCATGCTTTTTATTTTGGCTACGTTGCGCACAGACAAGAGATCACCAGCGCCAAAATTGTTACACTGTGTCAACGTAATCCCAACGCAACTTTGAAGGAACTGTAAATGCTGAAATGCAACAGCCGACATGTTGTTTGATGGCTAACCAGCCTAGGGGCTTGTTTATATGTTTATCTTAGTTTTTACAACTGTACAGTAGAGTGTGTATAGATATACGGTACTATTATAAATACAATTGTTAGCCTTCCTAATGTTCTGCTCAAAAACAGACATTTCCTGTCATAACCATGAGCTAAAAACCAGGTCGCACATGTCGGAACTAACAAGCCATTTACATCTTAACTTGTTTAATCTCTTGGGATGTTTTTAATCCAGTTTCAGTTTTAGTTCTCTTGTTATATAAACATGCATTTCCTCATTCTGTCGGCATTTTGATACACAATGTAGTTATTGTCTATAGTTGAGTGGAATTTACTTTATGCTGTGTGCTTCTTTTCAAGTATTATGCAGATAATGTACACAAAATGAAATAGAAAATGAGCTGCATTAGATCTTGAAAATTCCAATAAATGTAGCACCGGATGATCTCCAGAAATTTATTGTTTTGATGACTTCAAAATATCATGTCTTTAATCAAAAAGCAGTTTACACTTTTAATTCAATCTCATGTATTTATTACAAACCACTCTAACTTTGTGGTTTGAATTAATATTCTAATAATATAGCAAATACAGTTGCATCAAAATTGTGTGTCTTTAATTTAATTTAATTTAATTTACTTCCTTTCATCTGTTCTGTCCTGAAATGTCCACAACTCAGCCGAATAATGTCTGTGTACAGTGACTTGTTGCCTTGTATCTATGTAATTTGTTTGTTTGTTTTTCCTAAATTGAACATCTTGATAACATAATGCTGATGTAATTCATGACTATATACTAAGGGTAATTTCAAAACATAAACAAAATTAACTTCTCTTTTATCTGACAAAACAGGATCCATCCATCAAAGGTATCTTCCACTATAGTTCAAATGAACTGATGACAAAATACAGCATGGCAATGACTATGGCAGAGATATTTAACATTCCATCACAGCACATTGTAGCAGACAAAGAACCATCTAAAGGTACTCCTAGACCATATGATGTACATCTAGACTCCACTAGATTACAAAGTATTGGTATTACTACTGAACAAACACCTTTCAAGGAGGGTATACAAAAATGTCTTAAATCATTTCTCAATAAGTAATGTATTTTATTTAGTACAGTACATGTATATGCTCTATTGCAAATGCATGTAAACCCCAAATTACATTTGTTGGATGTTGGATTATTAAATATGGCTTATTTTAGGCATATCAATTCAGTAATTTACATATTAATGTGCTACTAATAGAGCATATACAGTAGCCATATTATGAGGCTTTTGATGTGCAGCTGAAGAAGTCTGTTGTAGGCTTGGGTTGTAATATGTTGGTGACACCATGTGATGCTTATTATAACATTATATTTTACAGACATGCAGAGAACTTTGCATTTGTCAATTTAAGAGGGACACTGATTTTAAGCTTTTATACTTAGATTCAATCATTATGGTGCTATTATAGAGAGGTGGTTGTCATGCCATATTATCAGATATGGGCCCAACACAACATATACACAACGTGTGTGTAAAACAGGTTACCGGAGCACACAATTTGAACGTAGCTACATGATAACCAACACCTTTTAAACCAACATGGGGAAAGTGGGAATATATAGAAGTGCAATACAAATTGCCAATAAAATGCTTGCATGAAGCAAATCACAAAATGCCTACCAAAAGATGGCTGTGGCAGTTGGGGTGGGATCATGTTTCATGCTTCATGCTTTTTTACCATGGTGATAAATATTATTCATGATTTCTACATACACTTCTAAGTTCATTCTGGTGGCCGCCAGAATCAGGAAATTTTGACAAACTAAGCTGAGATGTAAAAAGAAATGTAATTACCCAATATATTACTCCTTTTGCTTTTCATTTTGTGACAAAACAAAGTCTTCAAATATATACTGGGACAAGTCCCGGGGTAGGTTCAAATCATGTGACAAATTCAGTCAGTTTGTCTGAAAACAAGTTGTACCACAATGGAGTTTCTCTGATTTCCAGAAACTGATCTTGTTGTTGAAGAAAGTAGAATTATGGGTAAAATGCCTCGAATTGTATATATTCAGGTATTTACTTTTTTAAGGGGGATGTATGTAAATTTTTTACAGCCACAATATCATCGGTACCTTGGTAGAGATAAAATGATTGAATTACATCAAACTCAACTTATTCACGTATATGCTAACTTTTTACATGATTGTGCTCCTATTAGAGAAAATACAAAAAATTGCATGAATATGGCATGCAGAATCACTGAAGTTGTGTGAGTTGTTTTATTACTATTATTATTGAACAGCATTACTTCCAAATGGTAGATTATAGATTGGCTATTGGGTTGCTATGACAATATTATTGCATGCATTTTTTCATGGAATGAGTAATAAACAACTATTATAAATGATTTTTGTGGTTGTGATTTATAAATTTCAAACATTGAAATAGTTAAATATTTCATCTTTTGAAATGGCAATATCAGGATTTGTTATCTGACTCAGGGCACCATGACTATACCTGCACCCAAGTCTGTGATGATTTCAATCTCTGCAGTATTCTAGTGCTGTGATTTTATCTACTTGAGACATGTATATGTTAGTGCAGTTCAGCTTAGTTCACCTGCTCACCTTCTGAATTGTGTCCCCTATAGCTTAAATGTTTGCAGGTATATTTTCCATCTAATTTATGTTCTAAAAATACCACTCTCCAAGTCTCTGTTTTTCAAGAGGTTTTGTCTCGCATACAGTCTCCTGTGTATGACTAGAATAAGATGTTAAAGTATACTTTGGAATAACAACCTCCTTCTTCTCCTCATTTCAGATCACCATTCATCAAACAAACACTAACTTTATTACTTGCTAAAGATACTAACCATTCTCAAGGGCTGATAGAAACTGTTTGATATAGACTTTGTATATCATGGCTAAACAACCAAACACTCCATTAATACAGCTATGATAAGGCCACTGGCAAAATGTGTCAATTCAACAGCATTCAGGATGTTGTTGACGTCTCCTATCAAGAATTCTTCAGATACTTTCAATAGTAATGACAGCATCTCCAAATAGGGTCCAAGCTTTGAATTTCCCTGCAAACATTAGATGACTCACTCTGTCTAGAAATTAATTTCCTTGGTCATGCAAAGTTTCTACTTACCCCCCCCCCCCCCAATAATATACTGCATTGTGCTCATGCTCTATACTGGTCATCATTGTGTTCTTAATTAGGGTTAAAAATCGTGTCCAATTAACTGTAATTACTGGTGATTACTGAAACTCTCAATTTGATGAAAATAAAACAGTTTTGTGAAAAGTAAAAGTGATCATTGTTATTGTTGCTATTAACTTTGAGACTTAATTTGGATGAGGAAATGCCTTGATAAGTATTAATTTGTACTTGAAGTTTACAGTAGTTTGCTTAGTCTTTTATAAACATTGCTCTTGTCTCAAAGTAGACCTTTTTAGCTTCGCTGTTGACTTTGTTGAGCCGTGCTTATCATACGAGTGATTGTCCGTTGTCCATGTCAACTTTTTACTTTTTTGACTTCTTCTCGAAAACTACAATTCTTATTGCTTTGATATTTGGTGTATATTTATTTTGGGCAGACCTCTCTTAGATTTGTTCATTTCATGATGATATCTTTATTGGTAATTCTCTAATTTTGATGAATATTTTTGGTAAAAAGTGATATTTTCGATTTCTTGTTGAAAACTGCATGTCTGATTACTTTGATATTATATATATAGGGACTACATGTGGGCCTCTCTCAGATTTGTTCATTTCATGATGATATCTTTAATTCTCCAATTTTGATGAATATTTTGGTCATTTTTGGTGAAAAATGATATTTTCAAATTCTTGTTGAAAACTGCATGTCTGATTGCTTTGAAATTATACATATAGGTACTAAAGGTAGACCTCTCTCAGATTTGTTCATTTCGTGATGATATCTTTAATTCTCCAATTTTGATGAATATTTTGGTCATTTTTGGTAAAAAGTGATATTTTCGACGACTTGTTGAAAACTGCAAGTCTGGTTGCTTTGATATTATACATGTAGATACTACAAGTAGACCTTTTTCAGATTTGTTTATTTTCTAATGATGGTGTTGCTTATTAAAAATAACCAAAAATTATTTATACATCTACAATAATTGAACAATGTTTCAAGTTTAAGTTTTTTATCATCAATAGTGCCTTTCACAACATCAGGTTTTTCTTCAGTAAATTTAATTTGAATTAAATATCTGTGTTCAATAATAGCGTATAAAGAAAAAAACATTATTTATCAAATAAGAATGTGGAGCTTGTTATTGTTCAATCAATCTATCAAGTTCATTTTAGTTAATAGCAAAAAGAAAATTGCTAGTAATTACTTCTCTAATTACAAAACATAAAATAACAATGACTAGCATAATTAGTTGTTACAGCTGCTGTTTTGTTAACGGTTATAATGGTTAGCAGTGTACAGTAAAATTAATTTATTCAGATGATGCATTTTGATTTTTACTGTCAAAATTGCTAAGTACCGGAAGGGCTTTGTGATGCAATGTGAGTGTAAATGATGAACAAGAGTAAATCTTTCTCTTCAACTGTAAGTAAAACTTTTTGGCTTGTCTCTATTGTTCTAACAGTCCACTACATTTGATAGCAAACTGTTTTTGCTCACCATTTACTAGGAAAGTTCTCTATCTTTGTTACAAATATTCCCCATTTTCTAGTTTCTGTGTTCTCAATGATGCTCAATGATACTAGGAAAGAACTTTTTTCAGAACAAAGTTGTTCTCGCATGATCAAAGTGAAGAGTACAACGTTTTTTTTGTTTTTTTTAAACAGCAACACCATGAATTTGAACCAAAAACTTCAGAACAACAAGCTGTGTGGGTGCACAGCCAGTCTACTGAATGAGCTAAGCAGGTGGTTTGTTGTTGAATACAACATTTAGTTCACTATGTTACATACATGAATCAGGTACAATTTCTACAGATCACATGAAAGGAGTTGCACGACACACTGTGACATATAACACAACCCATGATGGGGCTGAAAGGAAAGCCATTCAAACTTGAATGCCATTAGCATTCTTGTAGCTTCCTTCAAATATCAGTTACCGTCTTTGTAGTCGCCCGTTAACTATCTGTAATAAATGGTGTTACATCAGGAAATGTAAATTTCAGTTGAAATATGTATTAAATGTGATCAGATAAGATCAGTCTCAGAAATGATAAACAATGGTAAGCTTATTTGTAACAAAAAGTAAGTGTCACATTAGATTTTAATCCAATTTGCATAGTGCAGCTACACACCTTGTAGACTGCCCTCTGTAGTTTACCTGGTTAAATGTTTGCAGGTAAATTATACCATTCAATTTATGTTCCTAAAAATAGCCCATGTTTGTCACAAGCAGGAAAACAAAATAAAATCCCAGGTCATATCTCAAGTCTGCCATCTTAGTTTTATTCTTGATGTTCATGAATAATTGAAACCACAGCTTTTTGCTCTGACACTTGAATACATGCAAGGGGAAGTGTCATTAAATTCTTTATTTACACCTGCATTTCATCTTGCATTCCTTCCTTCTGGTCTCATACTATAGACTGTTCGTGAAATAGATATATAAATTAGAAATTCATGAATTTAAGAAGAAAAAAATGTAATTAATTATTCACTGGCTTTTATTTTTGTTTGAGTAAAATTTGCTAAATTCAATCCATGTGAACATGTAGAATATCAATAAAACTCATTGTTTCCCTGCCAAGTTTGTGAACTTAAAACCCAGTGAAATTGCTCAAAACATCAAAATAGTGAAATTAAAAGCCAGTGAAAATAAATGGTTTTACAGTACTGTATGAAATAAGGGGAAATGCAAGAAAAAAAATAAATCCGGGTATTACATGGTCTTTGGTGTACAACTGAGGTGTGAAGTTTGGTTTATGTAAACAATGTACAGATTCTTAACCTCCCACAAAAGTTTTGCATGTGTATCTTATGCAGTTAAAAATTGCGTTTCTATGACAAGCCTACCATGCACCACTGTATACATTTTAAATATTAAGCTGTCTAAAATGGTATCTATGCATTCTAAATTTGAATGACAGATAAGACTATGGTAGTTGTCGAACAACCCTGAAACCAAAAAATACAGAAGTATGAAACAGCTGACGAAGCGAAAGATGATGTCATTTCTCGTGGGGTAGTGGGCGTTGAATCATTTCTGGTAGGGTGGTGGGCATCGAAAACAAAAATAATAATGAAATCTATGGATGTCTAATACTTATTAATGTAATTAAATCTTAAATTGAAATTTACTATAACAAAAAATAACAAGTTTTTTTAAAGCTGGCATACTAGACATACTGGAATGTTAATTTGTGTTACCCTATCCAGGCTTCCTGGATTTAGGATTAATCCCCCAAAGCCTTAGTCCAGACATTTTGTAGACTTTGATTTAGGCCGTTTCCAACAATGATGTTTACATAATATTTTTTTGTGACTGACCAGTAGTGTCATAGTTTAAACAAATTGTTTTGTTACGTAGAAATGTTTGCACCTTTCCCTTCCTATGCCCACACCTTTGTGATAAGTGCATAATAAGCCATTGATCTCATTTATCAAATTAGGCTTATTGTTTCAGGTTAATTACCTCATTTTCACTTGTGAGAAAGGAGAATATATGGCTGAGTATTTATACATTATTCGTTTTCATCAGAGTAGTGAATCGCACAATTCATCGCTATCACAGGACAATTTTTTTTATGGTGAAAATGTGTTGACAAATAAAATTATTAAC